GGGTTCAGAGAAGGCTGCGAGGGTTCCTGTGCGGGCAGGGCTCAGAGCTGGGTCTCTCCCTTCACTACAAAGCAGCCAGCAGTTTCCCAGGGGCCGCCCCCAGGCTCTGGGTCCGATCTGGGGCCGCTCAGCCACCTGTCACTCTCCTTTGATGATGGGGTGCCAGCCACCTTCTCTGAGACGGAGTTCCGTATCTGAGCCAGTTTGAAACAATCTTCTATGACTTCTTGAGCCAAAGCTCCAATATGAGCAATCCAGTTTGCTGGCTCCACTCTCTCATCTTGTAATTCCGTCCAGCCATCACCCCATTGGCAGGTCACGACTGTCTACAGGCAATTTCATACAGCCCTCCTCATGCTGCCTGTCTTGATCTTTACTGCCTTTCTCTATGATGGCTTTAGCGTAGGTTTGTCTGACTGTCAGTTCCACACACGGTTACAGTGATGGCTAATTCTCTAGGTCCAATTATGGTACCCAGTTGTTTGGTGGAGCACTAGTCTAGGTGCTGTTATGATGGCATTTGCATGTGATCAACATTTACCGTCAAATGACCTGAAGTAAGGCAGACACTCCATAATGTGCATGGGCTTCATCCAATCAGTTGACGTTCTTAAGAGCAAAAACTGAGGCTTCCTGTAGGGGACTCGGCCCCACAACTGTAATGCCGAAGGTGGCCTCAGTTTGCAGCCTGCTGCCCATCTACAAATTTTGGATTTGTGTAAGCCTATTCCTTAAAAACCAGTATTTTCTCTTCCAGTCTTTCTCTCTCTCTATACATATATCCTATTAGTTTTATTTCTCTGAAAAACCCTAATATACTTAACTTTGTACTGTTGTTGAAGGTGTAAATAAGACGTGCAGATGCACACGTGTACACAAAAGGAGGACTCAGAAATCTTGGAGGGCCAAGGTGGGCTGGGGGTTCACCTGAGGTGTGAAAGAAATAGGGTTGTTTTGTTAAGTACATGAGTACCAGAGAGAGAAAAACAAAAACAAATTCACTGCCATCAAGCCGATTCCGACTCATAGAGACCCCCATTGGGGTTCTGAGGCTGTAAATCTTTATGGAAATAGATCACCTCATCTTCCTTCCATGGAGCAGCTGGTGGATTTGAACTGCTGACCTTCTGGTTAGCAGCCAAATGCCTTATCCACTGTGCCACCAGAGCTTCTTCCAGAGAGAAAGGTAAATGTGATTTATTGTGTGGAGTTGGGAGGGGGCCATAGTTCATAACTGAAGGTTCAGTGGCTGGGACATTTAAGTTGTACCTGCAGTGGAGGAGGGCCCTATACCACAGTGACAAACGTCATTGAAAGCTGGCATCAGATCAGTGGAGAGAAGTAGGTCATTGCTGCCTCTACAGGTGGAGTAATTGAGAGGGAGTGATGGTGACTGAAGGTGACTTAGTGGGTTCTTTTCATGCCACCCATACACACATCCACACACCATCCTCACCCGTGGAGGATTCCTGGGCCCCTCCCCTGCTGTTTTTACACCAATTTTATTCTTACTTGTATCTTTACAGAAAATGGCACAGAAATCACAGCTTTAGAATATCTAGAAGTCATTACAGTCCCATAGTTCAAACACCTCAATATCAAGTTCCTTTCTTCTCACCATATGTACATTATTTACACACCAGGGGCTACAGCCTAAACACTTCAAACCAACAAGGAACAGACAAGAAGGACTGAGGGGAAAGCATCATGAACAGAATGAAAAAGAAATCAACTTTTGATACAGAAAGAAAATTACAACTTGCTGAATCAGGCCTTTCTCTCACGAGGTATTCCCTGCAACAGTGGTAGGTAGTAGAGGGGGATGTCACGGGGATGGTGGTCCTGGGCCTGGCCTGGGAATATCGGTCTGGTGGGCTCCACCAGGTGATGGGTTCCCATTCCTAGTTGGAGTGGTGAAGGCCAGGTCGAAGGGACAGAAGTCATCAGTATCCACAGGCTCTCCCATCAGCAGACAGGAAGCAGCAGCCCCCGGTCCCTTAGTCCAACATGGTTACCTTGTCCGCATTATTCTAGCGGACACACATCATGGTAGACACCTGGCATGAAGGTATGTGAGTGTGCCTGCTGCTTTTACGCTGGCCTCCTGCCTGGCTTTCCTTCCAGCCTTTCCCTACAATCCATTATTTACAACTCCAGGCAAACTCCAGGTTTGGCCTCTCAGGAAGGGCCCAGGTCAAGCTGAGGCAGGGGTTACAGCTTCCTAGGTGTTGATCTTACAGGTAGAGAGGGTTGCTCAAAGGCAGGACACAGGCAAAGCAGTAATTTGCAAGAAGCTCTAGGGGCAGGGTACTTGCACAGCAAGTCAGGGTCCCAGGCAGCGCATCAGGAGTTAGGGGGCTTGAGGACCCAGGCCCAGCGGCCAAGGGGCCCTGGGTAGAGAACTTGAACTCCCACCTATGCAATGAGCCACAGCACTGTGAGAGGTGCCCCCTCCCTACAGGACCCAGGGCTTGGACTCACTACAGGTACTATACATTGATGCCACATGCAGTGTGGCATCTGTGATGGGAGGAGCCAGTAGGGAAGGCTAGGTGTGGAGGGAACGGCTTCCAGGGTGACCACGGCAGGGCATGAGACAGAGGGGCCAATGGGCCCAGACCAAGACTTCCCATGTTTAATCAGGAGTCTGAACCCCATTGGTGGGGTGCAGGAGTGGTTGTACCTGGGCCTACAGGGCAGCACCTTCATGCAGCTGAAGCCCAGGCCCAGGTCCCCAGGAAGGAACAGGCTGAGGGTGAAAGCAAACTTTTGCTGAGGACTGGGATCCTCAGTTGGAATCATGGCCGTGGCAGGTAATGCTGCAAACAGGCGTGAGTGGAGCAGAATCCACAGGGATGCAGAGCTGGGAAGGAGGGCTCTTTAGGCAAGAAACAGAGTTAGGGTGGATTTGGACAGTGAGAGTTGCCACAGGATTGAGTGAGGGGGCTCGAGGGGTGGTTTGGGGCAGCAAGAACGCTTCTGGGACGAGAAAGAGGAGGCCAGAGAGGTGAGGATGAGGTGAGGGATGGTTCAACGTGGTCCAAAGCCTCGGCCAGCACTGAGCAGTCACCCAAGGGGTAACGGGGTGGGGGCTATGGGGTGGGGGAGGGAGGCAGAGGCCAGGCTTAGCCCCTGCCCCAGAAAACACCTCTCAGCACCCCAGGCCCCGGAGAAGAGCAGAGTCCTGGGCTGCCGGGTCTGAGCACCCTTCGACCTAAGCCATGTCCTCTAGCTGAGGTGGATTCAGCGGCTCCGTGGGCCTGTCTTTGTCCATGGCTTCCTCCTCCTCGGGCTTCTCCACGTTCCGGGCCAGGCTCTCTGGCCCCGACACGGTCCCCAGCACTTTGGTGCTGTGCTCCTGAGCTTTGGCTCGGAGCACGGCAATGCTGTTCTCCCTCAGTTCCTCCTGGGAGATGGCCGCCTGAGGGTCGGGGCCCCGCTCCTCCTGCTCCATCTTGTCGAGCTTGGGCAGGGCCTGGCGCTCCGCCTCGGGCTTCCTCCCCGACTCGGCTGCTGCCTCCAACGACTTTTTGTGCATCCCTAAAAAGAATTGTTGGTATTCGGGTTTAGAAAAGCGCCTGGGAAAGCCATCTTGAACTGAAAACAGCAAAGATAGAGAGAGGGCAGAATTAAGGACGAGCAGAAAGCCTTCCTTCACACACCGCAGTCACGCAAGTCCCAGGGCTGGGGCTGGGTCAGGAAAGGGGGTGGGCGGCCATGGGGAGGGAACTGCAGGCTGGCAGCTGGAGACCAGGTCTGTAGAGGGTTCCTCCAGCCGAGACCCTGGGCACCACCCCGACAGCCTGTTCTGTGTCTTCCACGGCTCAACGCTTGCCTCTCTGCATCCCTCCCCGTTGGGGATCTGAGAACCCTAGGGAAGGTGCTATTACCAGATTCACACCCAGATGGCAGGTGGAGGAAGGAGGGCTGGAGAGCTTTAGGGAGAAGTCTTTGGCCAAAGTCAGAGTGGTACCCAAAGGGACTAAGCCCCTAGGGGGCACTCATCATGAGCCTACCTCTGGCTAAGGGAAGGGAGGGTACAGACCCTACGATAACAGTAATGCCCTTCTCCCAGGACAGAAAGACCTACAATCAGGAGCCCTGACCCTCCAACCAGAACAGAGTCCCATGCACCCAGTAAGTAGGAGGAAGGGACAGTCATAAAGACCTGGGCCCACTGTGCCGTCTGAGTCCCCCAAGGTAGACTAGAAGGCCTGCTTTGGAAGGCCTCTGTCCCAGGCTGCTGTGACCCAGGTCCCCTTGCTCTAGGGCTCTGCCACCTCCTCCACAAAGCCCGCTCCCCTCACCACAGGGGCAGGGCCCCGAGGAGGGTGCAGGCTCTTACCCAGTAGCCATGGAGCACAGGAGTCCATGATGCCATCCTTGGCTGACTTGAGGATGGACTCTGGCAGGGGGATAGAGTGCCGCACCATGGCACCATAGAGCCCGTATTCCGCCATGACGCTGCTCCGGCCCCAGCACTTCTCCCGTTTCCTCCACTTGGCTCTGCGGTTCTGGAACCAGACCTGCAGGTACAGAGGAGGAGGTTCAGGGCCTGCTCAGAATGGCACCCCATGTCTGAGCTGGAGGTACAGGCCTCCTGCCCTAGATGGCCAGCAACCCCACCCACCATGTTGTAACTTTGGGTTTCTCAGCAGGGAGTCTTCACCTAAACCCACCCACCCCAAGTTTCCTCCAGTCTCATGGGCATTCAGGATGAGGACCCAAATCCTGTGAGAACACAGTGGGCCCTTATCAAAGCAGTTCTAAGGAGATGGGTAGGGCCGCCTCTGGGCTTGGGTCTTAATAACCAGTATGGGCCTCGGTGTGCGGCCACAATCCAAATCCCGTGAATCTCTCACCAATGTTCACAACCCCAGTGTAAAAATCAGAAACTTCCCTGACCTGCAGGGGCATGAATTCCTTTCCAAGGACTGGACTAGTAGTGCCTCTGGTTCAGGGCAGCCTCCCCACCAGAACCCAAAGGCCAGAGTGGTCCAGGAAGACTGCCAGGTTAGTGTGGGAGCAAAGGGTGGTGGGTGGTCTTGGGGCATTTCATCTGAGTCTCCTCTGGAAGCCCCAAAGCAGGCCAGGGGATACTGCAGGAGCCCTGAGTCAGCCTCCCTTCCCGGCTCTGTCCTGCCCAAGCCCTGCCATGCCCGAGTCCTCCCTATCACACAGGTCTCCACAATCACACCCAACTCTGAGGGATCTTGGGGCATGGCAACTGAAGACAAAACTCTGAAGAGTTATGACGGCAGATGGAGCAAGGACCTGGGGGGCTCTGCGCTGGGGAATGCTTCGCTGGCCCCAAAGCTGGCTAGTGCGAGGTCTCCAAGAGAATGGGGTATCTATCCTAGGAGTGTCTAGAGCACCGGAAGCTGATCCTTAGAGGAGAACCCAAGATCTCTGCCATGTTGGGAGGCGGGATTCTTGCTCAACCTGAGCAGCTTCCTGAGACTTCAGACACTGACAAAGCCGTGGAGAGTGACAGAGGCCCGGGAAACTGCTGGGCGCTGCAAAGACTACAGGCCCTGGGTGGCGCCCTCTCGCTTCCTCACAGTCTCTCAGGGCTCTGACCCCCGGGATAGCGAGGCGCCTGGTGGTGGGGGTGAGGGGAGGGGAGAGGCGGACTCCGGAAAATCTATTAGTTTCCTGGGCGATTTCCATCCGCTCGCCACGGCCCCTTCCCCCGGGCCTGTCCCCTCCCCCGCCCTCGGCGGCGCAGGTATCAGCTTTCGATGAAAAATGGCCCCAGCTCTATTCAGGAGGCGGCAAACGAAGAGTCACCCCCAGGGGCAGCCCTGGGCTGATTGAAAAATAAGTTAATTTCAGTTTGAATCGATGGGCCTCAGGCACTGAAATATCACGGGAAATTAAAGCAGCGGCTCTCCCGGGAGCCGCGGCATTGACCCGCACTAATTAATGCTGCGCAGGCAGCCCGCGCCGCGCCGCGCTCCGCCCCCTCCCCGGGGACCCCAAACACTTCTCATTTAACTAATTAGACGGGCAAAATTGGGTGTTAATTTGTTTAGGATTTTTTTTTTTTCCCCCTTCTTCCCCCGGCTGCTCCCGCCCCCGGCTCCCGCCCGCGCGGGGCGCAGGGAATGAATGCGGGCCTCGTCGGCAGATGGCTGCCCGGGTCACTCTGCAATCTTCTCCGACTTGATTGCTTGATTAGGTCGTTAGCACATTAAAAAAAAAAATTGCTTGCCGTCTGGCGCTGGCGTGATGAGTGGGACGCGCGGCAGCGCCTGGGTAATTTATCTTTTTATACGGCAAAGAATTTGATTTCAATCTGCAGATATATGTGGCGCCTTTGACACCTGTTTAACATCTCGCGGCTGACAGCTTAACCCTTTGCTGCCTCGGCCGCGGGGAGGGTTGGGCTGCGGCCCGCGTGGGCGCCGGGGCTGCGCGCTCCTGCGGTTCCCGCTGCCGCCGCCAGGGGGAGGAGTGAGCGCCCCACGGCTGCGGCGAGTCTGCAACCAGGGCTCGCATCCTATCCGTCTAAATCAGCCCCGCAGTCACAGAAGCGCCTTACGGGGGGTGGGGAGGTGCATGGTACACGCACTCCTTTAAGCCGACCCAATATTTGTAACCCTGTTGTGACATTTCTTCCTTTATAAATAACGAGGACCCTCCAGAAATGGGAGGACCTCTCCACTCCCTTACATTGGCCAGCGCTGTCTGGGCAGGCCGCACCTTTGCCACCCGCTGGCATTTCCAGAACGTGCTGGGAGCTTCCTAGGAGCTCAGAACAAAACGCACGCGGCCTCCCCCCAGTCCAGGCCCAGGCAGCCCTGAGTGACCCCTGCCGAGGAAAGGTTTTATGTAATTTAAAGGCCACTAGATGGCTGCAAGGTCCCTGGGTGGTGCAAACTGTTTGCCCTGGATTACTAACCTACACGTTGGCAGTTAGAACTCACCCAGGAGCACCGCAGAAGAAAGGCCTGGCAACCTGCTGTCATAAAGATTACAGCCAAGAAAACCCTACAGAGCAGTTCCACTCTGGGACACAAGAGGTCACCATGAGTCAAAATAGACTCCACAGCAATGGCTAGATGGCTGCCCTCTGCACCACCTCTGGCCTTGGGCCTGGCAGGCACTGTGCTGAGTGTAAATCTCTCCCCAATACTGCCTGCCTAGCCTTCAGGCTGCGCACCTGACTATCTGCCCTCCCCAACAACTTGGGTTTGTCTGGGCACTCTGCCCTGTTCTCAGCGCCCTCCTGTTGGCACTTTGTCCCTGTAATAGTTAAGTTGTATGGTAACTTGGCTGGGCCTGGTTTTGAGTGGTTGGGCAGCTGGATGTAGTTTTTCCCCACAATGAGACTGGGAATCGACTCCACGGTGCAATCTCCTGGAGCAGCTGGGTGGCTGCCTTAGGGATGTGGGCTGCCTCCTGTACAGCAGGAAGAAGCATTGAGGAAGGTCTCTGGAGCTTCTTCGCACGCTTTGACCCTGCATGAAGCAGGGTCTCCAGTCAGCAGCCTGCCATGTTTTCTGTTGAGCTTGGGACTGTCTCTGGACTTGAACTAGCGGCCTGCCATGTGGTTTGGCAATCTTGGGACTGTGCCATTTTATTTGTCGACCTTGGGTTTGTCAGCCTCAACAGCTAGCAGCTGCCTGAATAAGAGACGCCTCCAGCTTCAGTGGGCAGAGCGAGAAGCAGAGCTGAAGCCCAAGATTGAGGGGCTTTCACCCAGCCCCTAGAGCTGGTATTTGAACTCGGACTTCTAGCCTCTGAAACTGTAAGAGAATGAACTCCTGTTTATTAAAGCCACCCACATGTGGTATTTTCTGTTACAGCAGTACTAGAGGACCAAAACAGTCCCCCTCTACAAGTAGCCAGTGGTCTCAACCAAGCTGCCTTCTCTCACAGAGGAAAGCTGAAAGGACCAATCCACATAAAGGTACAAGTAACTTCTGGTTTCCTCCACCTCTCAGAGAAGGCAGCACAGAATTCCCTGGGGATGGACTTCCAGGCACCAAGTCCTGACCCCAAGACTGGGAAGGCTTTCTTTGTGACCATAAGCACATCATTGGCTTTAAGATCAGAATGACCATCCTGCTGGTATGCAATGCATTACAAAACCACAGACCTATAACCCCTTAACTGGTACCCCTTGGGGCCAGACTTGAGAGTGTGTTGGATTTTAGAAAGGGTGTGTGATGCATATTCCTCAACACCCTGAAGCAGTTCTAAAGCCTCCGGCCTTTTGGTTAGCAGCTGAATGCTTTAACCCTTGCATCACCAGAGCTCATCTCCTGAAGCAGCAGCAGCCCATAATCAAACCCATCAGTTTTGATTTCTGCAGCAAAATGTATAGTGATGCACACTAAAAAGGATGAATGAAGCCTATACGGTCAGGTCAGGTTTTTGCAGCCAAATGAGGTCAAACTTATGAAAGAACTCCGCATTCAGCCTGCTTTAGATTCAGGATTCTAGAGAAGGGACAAGGAGCTCTGGTGGCTAGTTGGTAAGGCATTTGACTGGTAACTAGATGGTTGGCAGTTCAAATCCACCAGTAGCAGCATGCTCCTATATGGGGGAAGATGGGGCGATCTTCTTCTGTAAAGCCTTGGAAACCCTATGGGGCAGCTCTACTTTGTCCTATAGATCCACACTACCAGTTGTAATCAACTTGCTGCCAGTGGGTTTGGTTTGGGTGTTGGAGAAGGGATGGTGGAGAGTACAAAGACAAAGATACCCACAGCGCTCCCATGTCATTGCCTGGGGAGGTGCATTGCCCTGGCTTTTCAACAAGTTCCACGGGCATCAGCAGTTCCATGGGTATCAGCGCTTGAGGTGGGGGGCGGGGCTCACAGGTGGAAGCTGCATCTTCATTGGATCACTGAAGGAAGGTGCCAGGTCCCTGGCTGGTGCAGAGGTTAGCCCTACACTGCTAACCAACCCAGGCTGGAGGTTTGAGTCCACCCAGAGGCACCTCAAAAGAAAGGCCTGGTTATCTACTTCTGAAAAAAATTAGTCCTTGAAAGTCCTGAGGAGCACACTTCTACTCTGACACACATTGGAGTCACCTCAACAGCAGCTGGTAGAGAAAGGCGTGCAGACTCAGGATTCAGACCATCGCTGGGGCCTGTAACAGAACTGTTTTCCTGGGTCTTCTAATTTGGGTGAATGGTCTGCAGATCAGAATGTTGCTTTGCCTCCGCTGTCCCAGAGGAGTAGCTGCCAGCTGGTCGTTCAAACAGGAGTTGTCCAGACCCGCAGTTACGGGCTCCTGGAATGTCTGGCTCTCTGCAAAGACCAGATGCTGCTCCAATTTATAGAGGAGACCTGGACAGCCAAAACAATTTCTTTTTAGGACAGTTGGCAGGGAAGCCGGAGCAGTGCTGCCTTGGAGGAGAGTGGACAAGGGACTAGAATTAACCCTAACCATGCTGTGCATTTACCTTTCTCTTCCCTTTCTAGAAGCAACCAGGATGTATACAGAACTTAAGAGTTTGCAAGAAGCATCAAGGTCGCCAAGCCTGAACTGGAATTCCCAGCTCTGACAGTA